CGGCAATCATTGAAACAGAACTAATACCAGAAACAAACACTAATACAATGAATAACACAACATCAAATAAGAAACGAGTTACTTTTAATTTATATAACATTAATTCTCTAGAAGGGGGAGTATTGTAGGGTTTGTATTTGTGTTATTACCTTTTATTGTACTGTGTTCATTTCAACTTTGTAATTTTGGAAATTTTGGATTTATGTGATTTTTGTGGTTCGTCAATCAAACAGAAAATTTTCATTATTATTCAAACTTTTCTCAAATTGTGTACAACAGAAAATAAAATAATTTTTGTTATTTAAAATAAATACCTACAGCTACTTACGTACCAAATTTTAAGCAAATCGGACCATAATAAGATTGTTTCGAATAGATCGGTCCCTCGTCCCCTTCTCGGAAAAAATGAATCATATATGCTAAAATGCTACTTACGTACCAAATTTTAAGCAAATCGGACTATAATAAGATTGTTTCGAATAGATCGGTCCCTGGTCCACTTCTCGGAAAAAATGGATCATATATGCTAATATATGCTAAAAAGCTACCTACGTACCAAATTTTAAGCAAATCGAACCATAATAAAATTTTTTCGAATAGAACGGTCCCTGGTCGACAAAAGTTAATTTTTTTAACCTAAAACATGGTGGTTACCGAAAGCTATTTATATACAAAATTTCATGAAAATCGGACCAGCCTTTCACGAGATTAACTGTTACAAATAAAAGGGACTTCGCTTTATATAATTAGTATAGATAAGTGCCTATTCGTTAGCACCCGACCAGAAACTGATTGGTCAGCATGTTCCTTTGTCTTTGCCATAAGATCTGCCGAGAGGCTATCTTTGGCGTGGCCCTATACTACTGTTTAACTATCAGTTATCATTACTTTCGGATCACATCTCATACTGAAAAGGTTTACTCGACTTACCGGATCATCAAAAATTTCTTCAACGCGTGTGTGGACGTCCTTATTATTTTTGTTTCGAATTAATATATATATGTTTTCGATGCCAGGGCATGAGGTGAATAATTTATTAAGTAAAACTAAAAGCATTCAAATTACTAACAATTAATATATAAAAACATACAATGTTAACATCTTACATCAGAAAAAACGACTTACTTTTGCCTAGAAAACCTGTTCCACCCGTTATTAATATATTCGCTCCTTCGTAGAAGTGCTGAAGTGGAGTTACCTTTTGCTCCAGCATTAACTCATATAGGCGCATGTTAGCCTTTTGAATTATAATGTACAATCACAAGAAGTCACGGCGATGCCTTTAAATAAGTTACCTAGAAATAGAAAAAGAGTTTATTCGGAGTAACAGAGATCTAATCTTAGCTAAATTTTAATTGTAACTTAAACTTCCTTGGTTGCCATTAAGGATGCACCGGATTGTAGTAAACATGTGATAGCCAGTATCAATCAGGGCCTTCCTGACCTCTCTTCCAAATTATCTAATCAGACTTATTTATGTAAAATGGCCATAGTGATATGTATTGCAGACAATAGAGCTGTGTATGGATTGGCCAGGAAAATCATCCTCGAATTAATCTCACCGAGAAAAGAAGCCCTCTCTTGCGCCCGAAAATCCGCTCCTCTAAATTCTGGAGGGGGTTTGAAAGGACTCTATCCGTTTAGTATTTACACGGTGAGACTGACAGCCCAATTGTAAATAATAGTTTCGTTCGAGTTTTCTCACTTTCCGCCACCCTACACGTCACAAGAAAAAAGAATTTCGCGGGATTTTACACTTTCCTCTTTCAATCAATTTAAAACCACTCCGAAAGCAATGTTTAGGAACCTTCTTTTGGTACCCATGAACTGTAGTATTTTACCCTTTTTTCTAAACAAAAAATTAAATATATATGCGATTCAAAATAGGTGGCAACCTTACTGAAATATTTTTGAATTAGGGATCTTTAAAATACCTTCCTTTTGATACCCATATTATGATGTTTTAATTAATTTTTAACTAATTTCGAATAGGTGGTAACCTTGTACAAGTCTTCTCGGAGATAATGCCTATTCAGATAACTTTAAAATCCAAAACTTTATCTGTGCCCAAAATTTCACCAAATCGATAGAGCCGTTTCCGATAACCCTATGGATATATATATATATATATGTATATACTTATACAAGAATTGCTCGTGTAATGTAATAAGATTTCAGAAATGCTTGAAACTTCAATATTTTGAAATTTAAGGACGCTAATTTACTCAAAATTGATACACCCCGGCTTACCATGTAGCGGTAGCTTTCGGAAAGGTGAAAAACATATATATAACATCTCTGAGCGTGGTTATTCTGATTTAATATTTATTTAAGTGAAGAGCATATTGTGGCGAATACTGCGGCATCACAAAGCGAACAACGAGAAATAGGCAGAATGTTCGAGGAATGACGAAGAATGTTCCACAAAGAGAAACGTCAAGCTGGAGGAACACTGCGAACAGCGAGAGAAAGAGAATGAGCGATGAACTTCAGAACATTCGAGAGTTGGCATGAGTACCAGCGCAGGTATATAAGAGCCACGACACAGCGGAGTTGGAGAGTTACAAGTCAGCAAGCTACAAGTAAAGTGAGTTGCGAATAAGCAAGCTATAAGTTCAATTGTTCTCATTTTCGTTGGTGGTGTTTCCGACAGGGTAGGAGTGTGATGTAATGTTTTGATTGATGTAGGTTCGCAATTTGCAAAAGTAATNCTGAAATATTTTTGAATTAGGGATCTTTAAAATACCTTCCTTTTGATACCCATATTATGATGTTTTAATTAATTTTTAACTAATTTCGAATAGGTGGTAACCTTGTACAAGTCTTCTCGGAGATAATGCCTATTCAGATAACTTTAAAATCCAAAACTTTATCTGTGCCCAAAATTTCACCAAATCGATAGAGCCGTTTCCGATAACCCTATGGATATATATATATATATATGTATATACTTATACAAGAATTGCTCGTGTAATGTAATAAGATTTCAGAAATGCTTGAAACTTCAATATTTTGAAATTTAAGGACGCTAATTTACTCAAAATTGATACACCCCGGCTTACCATGTAGCGGTAGCTTTCGGAAAGGTGAAAAACATATATATAACATCTCTGAGCGTGGTTATTCTGATTTAATATTTATTTAAGTGAAGAGCATATTGTGGCGAATACTGCGGCATCACAAAGCGAACAACGAGAAATAGGCAGAATGTTCGAGGAATGACGAAGAATGTTCCACAAAGAGAAACGTCAAGCTGGAGGAACACTGCGAACAGCGAGAGAAAGAGAATGAGCGATGAACTTCAGAACATTCGAGAGTTGGCATGAGTACCAGCGCAGGTATATAAGAGCCACGACACAGCGGAGTTGGAGAGTTACAAGTCAGCAAGCTACAAGTAAAGTGAGTTGCGAATAAGCAAGCTATAAGTTCAATTGTTCTCATTTTCGTTGGTGGTGTTTCCGACAGGGTAGGAGTGTGATGTAATGTTTTGATTGATGTAGGTTCGCAATTTGCAAAAGTAATTACGTAGTTCGCTTCTGAATTTCTTTGGTGAATTACCCCGTTTACACGACTCATTCCTAATTCGATTTGAAAATTCACTGTGTTTTTCCTTAATTTCCTCCATTTCTTTGTTTTGGTTGTTTATATTCTCTCTTGCTCTGACAGGTGTTCGATAAATTTCTGATTAAAATTAGAGACGGCAGCGATTTGTTCGTAATTCGCATGGTAATTGAATCTGAATTAGCCATTATTTGTAGGAGCCATGCGCACCTACCAAACGAAAGCACTGGAATCATCACACAAATACTGTAGTGCTGAAGTGCTTTGTGTCTCAGCAACTTGGCGAGCAAGGGAAGCCGGGACCTTCATGAGCTCTTGATAGTTTTAAAACCAATCTGTGAGAATCCCTCGTTAAACTCACAGACAAAATGTTACCGAAGTTATCCTTCCAGTAGCCCTATAAGGTAATAGTTTCTAAATGGTACAAAGTTTATACTTGCATTAAGAGCCCTTCACTCTTTCAAAACTACATCTAGGCTTATGGACAACGGCAAAACTCTACTCTTCTATTATTCGAAATTTTGGTCGTTCTGAGAGAGAATTAAACTCAATAAAGATATGTTCCAACTCATTTTCGTTGTTGGTGTTTCCGACAGTGTAGGATTACGGCAATCGATCTGTCCCCAAACCAACTTTGACAAGGGATTACGGAAAATCATTCCACAATATTCGTATGTTCCAGCGTTATAAACAAATTCAAAGAACACTCGGAAAATTGGTTTATTAGCTATATGAGTAATGTATTTTGTAAAATATTTAAATAATTAAATCTATAGCTTATGCCTATTTTAGTACATTTTTTGCATTTTGGTACACAAAAAAAATGAGGAAGTGGCAACCGTGCGTGTAACTCTTTCATTCTCTCCCATTGAAAAAAGTAATGACGACTCCCAAAAAACCAAACTCGCTGCAGCGAAAAAAGGGTATGAATTATCCGCACGAATTCAAATCTGAATAACTTGACTGATGTCATATTACGGAATACCCTGGCCTGATACACCGTGCAGATTGGAACCAGGAGTTGTTGGCGGCGGCGTGTGGGTGGTGATGCGGTTGTGTCTGTTGTGGTGTGGTCTACTGTGTTGTGTTGTGATGCTGTGCTGTTTGTGTTGAGCTGCTCAGGCGGACTGGGGTTTGCTGTGGAGACAGCTCTGTTTGAGCAGCAGAGGGCCACAAACGATGTGGTCCACTGCCGATGAGTCCGTAGGCAGTGATCGGACTTCTACCACATTGTGGTAGATCTGCCACTTTTTTGAGCAGAAGATAACTATAGCATACAAATCGAGTTGCACTCTGTCCTCGGTATTCACGAAAACGAAAAGCCCCATCGAGCCACAATAACAAAGCAACGTAGTATACGAGATTAAATGCAAAGGTAATCAAAACGAGGACTCATCAGAGCACGATGCGGACATAAGGAAAAGGAAAAACAATACAGCACTAGCACAACATGTAATAACGAGCGGTCACACAGCTTATCTAGTTAACACAAAGATACTTGACATAGAAAAGAGAGAAATAATTATTAGCCTATATATTTGTAAATGTAAGTTTTGTTAGTTTTTGTTTGTTGTTGTCTTTGATCATCACATAAATGTAGGTTTGTATAGTAACCAATAGTCAGTACTAATTTGTACTGGAACCTGCAAATTTTTACTGGAAAAGTGTATGATAACCCAAAAAATTAGTGCTCTCTTACTGAATCGAGAGCGTAACAACACGGGAGAGCTGCAAATTCTTGCTAGTGAAATTTCTACTAGCAGAAATTAGCTGGCAGAGGAAGAAGAAGAATAAGAGTCAAAAGCCGCCATTTGTTGAATTGGTTTAGCACAAACAAAAGTAAAATGAGTGGAAATCAAATTGTATAGTAATGATGTAAACAAAGCCGAATGGGAGGATAGAATATACTGTATTGTGGCGAATACTGCGGCAACGCGATGCGAACTACGAGAAATAGGCAGAATGTTCAAGGAATGACGTAGAATGTTCCACAAAGAGAAACGTCAAGTTGGATGAACACTGCGAACAGAACGTTCTACAGTTGCCATAAGTGCGAGCGCAGCGGAGTTAGGTTAGTTACGAGTTACAAGTGAGCTACAAGTAAAGTGAGCAGAGAAGTGAGTTGCGAATAAGCAAGCTATAAGTTTAATTGTGTCAACCAGTTTAGTAAAATGTTGTTATTGCTTTAACAAGTATTGTAAAGCGTTTTTACTGTATTAGCGAGTATTGTAAATTGTTTGTTGTACAATAAAGTTAATTGTACTACAATTTGGTCAACGTGAGCATTTATTTAACAATCCAGAGATACGAGCCCGAGTATATTTGGGAAATCCCTCAAAGCTTCGAGGATAATCGTAACAGTATAATAGCAAATTTTCTCAATAATAAATTTTTCGACAGGAAACGTGGTTTCATTATGTTAAATTTTAAAATATATTTTTTATAAAAAGAATTAATAGGGGAACTTTAAAAAAACGTCGATTTTTGTGAAAGTATTAGCAAATTTCAGTGCACCTAAAGTTTCTGAGGCGTTGTTTACATTTACTTGAGAATTGTCAAAATCGGAAAATCCCAAGCAGCGGTTTCTGTAACGTGCTACATTTGATCGCTACATCGGGATGTGATAAAAAGAAACGCTGGCAGCACTCCGCAAGGTTGCAAACAAATGTATGTTCGAAAAATATCTTGATATGGAAGGAACCGCTTTACACTGTCAAGGAAAAAAATTT